CGAATGGAACAAAAGTTTATCTTAAAAATTTATCTCGAAGCTGAAAAGAACGAGGTCAATGGTACCTCGTGAATCTGAGGACCATCGTCGACTGAGTATTATTCTGGTCTGCAAAACTCAGGTGCCATTGAAATATTTTTGGCATATCGAGGTTATAGGGCATCTCGATATACCAGGGCTCAAAAGCTCGAGAATTATTCGACTATTTCGGGATTTGGCAGCGAGGTCTTTCTGGCCCTCGCGAGCTTCCACTCTATTTTCGTCTGTTTACATTCTCGAAGGGACCGAAGTTTCTCGTGTCTCTTTGCGTTCTCCACACTCTGTTATTCCCCTGAATTTACTTAGGTACCTGATTCTCCAGGAGCGAGGCAGCGGATCGAAGCTGGGAAATCCTAATCAGTTCTTCTCGATCTTCCAATAAAGCGTTTACATTGTACGATTCTTTCAAATGGAAATGAGAAAGACGAGAAGAGACAATAATTCCAACGACCCGTCTCTCTCTCTCTCTCTCTCTCTCTCCCATCGTACTACGTATAAGCTCGTTATCCTTGATCGGTAACGCAATATGTGGCTCACGTAAAAGCGACACGTTAAAGCGACGAGGTAAAGCGCAACCGAATGTTGCCTTCTCGTTGCACACGTTCGTCCCATCTTCTGTTTCAATACCTTTCGTCGATCGGTTTAATAGAATCTTTCATACGATTCTCACCTTCGATGTCAACGTCGTAGCCATTGATTAGTCATCGTCTACGAACTCGTAAATCAACATCAATGACATCTATTTAAGGCGTAAACACGGCTTTCTTTACCTCAAAGTCCCCTCGATATTAGAATTGAGCTCTAGTCTGACACTAGAATTATCGACAATTATAATTGGCAAATATATTTTATTCAGGCTCGTCACGGAAGATTCTAAGTAAACTACGAGTGTTTACGCATTTGTAGAAGATCGTAAGAAAACGCGTGTTCTTTAAAGAAAATTTCATTCGAAGAAACATTAGAAATTCGTTCAATTTCTCTAGCCTTTTTGCCAAATTTCGCGGTTCTCGCGTTAATTTCACCGATGCGCTCGTCTTCTCTCCACTCCGTAATGATCGATTCGCTGATCCGAAAAGATCCGCGCGTAAAACCGGAGTAGTTTACGGTGTCGCGTTCGTGGTTCTCGAGCAATTACGAGGGATCGTGGCCGATCGATACGAGGTGAAAGCAAACCTCGCACGCTTCGGGAGCAGTTAGAGAAAAAGGAGGAAGACAGGATGAAAGACGACGCAACGGTGTCTACAACGAGCTCGCTCGTCTCTTCGTCGCTTCGTTCTAATTAACGTCTCCTTAAACGCCTGACGCGGCGGTTTAAACGCTCTCCACGTCGACGTCACAAAGTGTTTCCGTATGGCGAATCGACTGAATTTTTCCCTGGGCCAATTACGTTTCGCCTTGTAGTCCATGGACCTCATTTTTCTCGCGTGATTGCGACACTCGTCAACAGGGGATCCCGCGACGCAGATCGCCATCGGGCCACTCAAGATTCTCTTGATGACGAGGCAGCAAAAAAACGAGCAAAGTCAGGAGCGAAGAATGTTGCTCTCGACTCGTGCCACTCTCGCTTCGAATCGTTGCCAGTAGGAATTATACGTGTTAGTCATCGGCACGATAACTTGACTAATTTCGTACGATTAGATGTAGAGTATTTATTACAACAGATACAGAACAAATCGGTCGAGATAGCCGAGTAATTTCGATCGTACATAGGGCTTCTCCAACTATCTCCCCCGGTTCTTCTTGCTGCATAGTTCGGATAATGGAAGCTGACGTTGAAAAAGTTGAAGTTACGCGGTTCTTTCTAGATCACCATCAACGAAAACAATTTCCTCGTATAACTGAATTTACGCTCAAAGTCTCGTTTCAGAGTAATTGGAACTGGGCTACGAATTCGTATACTCGAAGTCGAGTACCATCGGTATAATGAAGGTTGCACCGCATCAGAGCTCTATTATCGTCGTACCGTTCTAATACATCCGCGTTATTTTCTCGATGCAAATCAATTTGCCAATCTGCTCGTTCGACGTTTCAAGTTCGCGAAGCCGAAGCCCATCAACGTGTCGACCGACAATTCTAAAATTGTCGTCTAGGCCTGGCCTGGTCGGGGCCTAAAAACAGGATAGCCTCGAGGCCGGCAACGAGGGGAAACAATGTCGAAGAGATGCGAGAAGATGAAAAGAGGAAAAAAAAGAGGAAGCAGAGGGAAGCGGAGAACGGTTCGCGAGAATCATAAACGGCGGCGGTGAGACGGTAGTATAACGATCCCCGGGCTCTCGGTATATTTCATCGTCGGGTATATTCGTGCAGCGATTATGGCGGACAACAGGTGAGGACACGGGCAGATCTGGTGGGATAAGGTTTGAGGGTCACGCGTCGCCTCGGAAGGTCCGTGACTGAAAAGCTAACCGGTCCTCAATGTCCACCGCCCGACGACTCGTAGAAGACGTATACAACGTATACCACCACGTCCCTGACCGGTGGAGTTCCTAAATTTCCGCATTGCTTACGATCGCCTTACAAGTCGACGATTCCTTCCGATAGATCCTCGACATCAATCGGAATGGACGTTATTGAAACCGAGACTCTCTCGTTGACTGGGGACAGAGACCTTCGAATCGAGAGGAGAATACGGTCCTTGAGAGGTACCATTCGCGTTGAACGCCTCGAGTTTGTTCCTGGCTGGTCGTTTCTTTTGCTAGGCACACCGCACACGTTTTCATTCGACAGCGACTTTTTCGTTCACCGAAGGATACACCGGTGAGCCGCGGTCTTTATAAAAGTCCCAGTGGCTTTGTTCGCGGAACGTTATAGGGTTCATCGGCACCGAGCGTTTAACTCAAGTTCGACGATGTATTTTTGGTGTCGCGTTTCAAACATCACATATCGCGAGACGAGGGGATTCACCGTGCAATGCCTCGCATGCAGAGTGTCTCGATCGCTTAACGATCCTATTTCCTCTGCGTTCGTAATGCGAAAGCAAATTCATTATACCGCGATAAAAGAGTAAAGACGTAGAGACAGCGTGGATAAATGAAAAGTCAATGAGTCTGAGCGACGTGACTGTGGTCACGTAGTCTATAGGGAAGTCTGTCCAAACCCTTCTTCGTATTCTTCCTAGCGGACTTTGTAATTTGTGTCTGTAACCGTGACCTAACTTGGAATCGTGCGAATATAATTAATGATCGTCTTATCCTCTCATCTCTTGCTCGATCCTTGTGTATCGCTAAATCTGGAGCAGTTGCGCCCTTGGTATTAGACTACGGTTACGGTGGGTGGTACGTTATAACGTGTGATACGTCCGATGATCGATGCATACGCTCGTAAGAATGTCCGATTGCTCGGGCGTATTGAATTCGTCGGAACGCGCCTGGCCTATATAGCCTTACATTTTACACGAGTGGCGCGTCAAACGTTTTACCTTTTTTCATTGCGTGGACGATTGGCAAACGGTGGAGGGATCGGCGCTGCTGAGGATTTTATGGCAGCAACGATTGCGTCAAAGTTTATTGGAAGCCGGGCTCGCGGTTAGAGAACGACTCGAAGAGGATGGTATCGAATTACGATGAGGTCGATCTTCATTAGAGTCAATTGATATGATCTACATTCGCGTTAGATCACGTGTTCGCGATCGTCGATGTTTCTTATTGAGCTTAGGTCATCATACGCAAATGAGCGTGGCGCCATGATATTGCACGTAGACTGTGCGAATACCGGTGCGAAACTTTCTACTACGTGAAAATCAATGATACACCCTATATGCGTGTATACCTGACCGTTTTAAAAGGAAGTCATCCCATTAACCGCCATTGCCAAGTCACGATAATGCGCAAGGCTGCCGCTGAGATTCCACTTATTTGCATGAATTACCGTCGTAAAAAGTCTAGGCACTGCTCCAATTCGGACAGGTTGTCGTCCCGACGCGTGTACCTTAATTTACCCGTTTTCACACGATGCGACGCAATTGTCCCGGAAAGACCAGGAAGTTGTTCGATCGTTCGTCGCGTCGAAAGATCACGACGATTATCGTTGAGGAATATTCCACACTCGATTGACTCATTATTTGGAGAATAATTAAAATTTAGAGACGCGATTCGACAGGGTAAAGTTTCCAGGTACAACACGGAAAACACCGGTGACTCGTTTTACCGTGGATTTACGTATTCACGTGTGGATTTACAGCCGTGAAAAACGAATATCGCTGATATTTAGCAACAATAGCATTTTTATCTCGTCGGTGTCCTATCGCTTGGAATAAACGTGGGAAATTCGCAAATTAAATAGCAAACTGGCTAAATTGTCTTCGGTGTCTATCCTCTTCTCTTTAACTAACGATGAATCACGCCAGGATAATTTACATAATACGGTTCGTTTCATAAATTAAAGAACTAATAGCCGTAGTAATCTTAAAATTGATACTTTTATGTTTTCCTTTCCTTCTTCTTTTTCTCTTCTTTCCTATCTTATATCGACAAATCACCTCTTCCTGGTAGAAAGACTCTTAATTCGTTCTTTTCAGTTATTGTTATATCGTCCGTAGATGGACATGTTAATCGCATCCATGTCGAGCGAACGAAAAATGAGTAAAAATGAGCCGAATAAAAAATGAAAACGAAAGTACGATTATAACAAAGACCATGGTCTCTCGAATACTACCGTAACCGTGACTCGCTCTTATCACGTCGTCGTGTACACCGTGATAATTAGTATTTTATCCACGTAGATACACGCATATTGTCCCTACGAAAAGTGACCGCAAGGTCGACGATGAGAATACGCGCGAATGACAATGCGGAACGAATATTAAAAATGCCAGCTTGATCGTAGGAAATGCTTCCACGTTTCGTTAAATTCAATTCGAGAAGTGTTTACGAAACAGAAGACAGAAGTTTTGCCATTCGTTTCCGCTGGTGTATCTCGTACATAGGATCGTAAAATAGGGGGAAATAAAAATGATCGTCATAAAAGGTGCAGATTAAAGTGTTCGTTGGTATACGTTTTTCCAGGTTCCCATGAACGAGATGGATTTTAACATTCTGTGGATGGGGAATCATCCGAAGCCGGACATTTTACGGAACTTAATGCCCCACCAGAAAGTGAACCATTTCCCAAGGTATGTAAAACTGATGGGCGTTTGGGAGGGAAAATAAACACACAGCTCCAGGCAACTCGAGCAGTTGTGGATCACTCGAGCGAATAAATCAAGCTTTGTCGAGAATAAAGAAACACATTGTATATTTATCATGGGATGCGTTGCTGAAAATAATAACTGCATCGTCGATGAAAAAGAATCGGAGGCTGTGCAGCAATAAGGAAGCATAATATTTTATCCAATATTTAAACTGTATTTATTGGAAAAGAAGAGAAGGTATAGGTTTCGTACTCAAAAATGAAAAATTGACTATGAATTTATAGCATAGCCGTTTCACAAAGCGATTTGATTTTCATAGAGCTTCGGTTGATTCATTTGGTTTATACAAATTACTAAATTGCAGAGTAGAGCTGCTTCCTTATTAGCCGTTACGATTAGTTGTTTAGCTGTACGAATTAAATCAATTTTTTAAATCTCTGTCGTAGGTCGTACGAGATAACCCGCAAGGATCGACTGTACAAGAACATAGAGGCGATGCAACGCAGCAAGGGTCTACGGAATCTGGACTTTATACCGCAAACGTTTCTGCTGCCTAGCGAATCGAGGGAATTACTTACGGCGCATTTCAGGTACCGCGGGCCCTGGATTGTCAAACCAAAAGCCAGTTCCCGCGGACGTGGCATTTATATAGTTAACAGTGTGAGCATCATAATTTCTAGCTATGAATATAGATAACGTGGCCTGCACCCGCATGCTTGTTTTCGCACACCGTCGTACTTAAAATATTGTGATAAGAAGGCTCCTATTACCAAGCGTCATTACGTACTCTATTTCATGGTAGAATCAACATTGAGAATAAAGGCGTAGTTATCTTTCTCCCCGTATATTTACCATGTATAATATATTGTCTACACACGTATATATGTAAAAATTGATTTTCGTGCACGTTCTGTACTTGCAGCCTGAAAAGATTCTTACGGACGAATCTGTGATCGTTGCACAGTACATAAATAATCCGCTTCTAGTCGACGGGCACAAATGTGACTTACGGCTGTACGTAGCCGTGACGAATTACGATCCACTGTTGATCTACCTGTACGAGGAGGGCTTAGTGAGATTCGCCACGGTGAAGTACGACGGTGGCAACCAGTATATCTGGAACCCCTGCATGCATTTGTGCAACTATAGCATCAACAAATTCCACGTGGATTACGTAAAGTAAGCAGAACCGTTTTCACCACTGTAGACGTCCCGCCTGAACGAGAATTACTCCGTTATTCTAAATTATCTTGTAGAAGCGAAGATCCAGATGCGGAGGACGTAGGCCATAAGTGGACTTTGTCGGCGTTACTCAGACATCTACGTTCAATGGGACAAGACACGGAATTGCTGATGCAACGCATAGAGGATATTATCATAAAATCGATTCTTGCGACTGCCTCTGGAATCGTCAGCGGAGTCAAGCAATTTGTCAAGCATCCGGAAGCTTGTTTCGGTAATCGTTACTTCGTCGAATATAAAATAGGATATAGACTAGGACATTCTAATACATATTGTTTATTGCTGTTCTAGAACTATTTGGATTTGATATTTTAATCGATGACACGTTGAAACCATGGTTACTGGAAGTGAATTTGACGCCATCATTGGGATGCGATTCCCCGCTCGATGTTAGATTGAAATCGGCTTTAATAGCCGATTTACTTACTCTGGTTGGTATACCTGCGATCGATCCGATGTTACGACCGCAAAGCACGCACCTGAACCGATCCACAGTAACTTCTACTAAAAGAATAGTTAACGTAAGTAGTATATCGTGAGTTCTTGACCGAATATTCGAGTGTTATGAGCCATCGATCGAAGATTTTATTTGGTTATAGTGTAGGAGAGTACATTCAGCCGAAACATTATCACAAAGAAAAAAGAACGGTAGTAAAAGTAATATCAATAAATCAGGATTAACACCCGAACAGCAACGAATAGTAGCATCGGCGAAAGCTCAATTCGATCGACGAGGAGGATTCGTTCGTATATTTCCTAGTCCAAAATCGTGGGAAATGTACTCACAATATTTAGGTAAATATTTGAAAGCAATATTTTTTACGAGTTTTATTTTGATTAATATCGCATTGAATATTATTTTGTATCTTCAGATCCAACCACGGGCATACCAATAGCTTCGGATCCTTTAGGTCCAGGCAGACCTCCGCATCAACTTAATACGAATCATAATTTAATGTTACACGAGCAATTATTTCCCGCGGCTAGTCGTACTACTGACTTTATCATTCCCGAGGTTACATTGGACAGATTGTCTAGGTACTTTTATGAAAATAATAAAAAATTCAAAAACCCATCGTCAAATAATAATATACAATTCATATATACATTACAGATACGAAAGATATGAGAGAGCTTTGGTAAAAGGGCACAAACAAAGCTTAGATCGTGGTAGTAGTAAAGAGAATATCGATATAGATAAACATAAGTATAAGAGCCAAGTGGTGCAATCTATGCACGAAGGAAATAGACTTAGGTTGGCTATATGATCATCAAGTTATATCATCGATATCGTAGAATTTACAAATTCATAATGTATTACATAATTAACGAAATTTTTCAGTCCTGGAGAAGCTAGAAAGGCCTTCGGTTTATACTTAGGACATATATTACGTAAAATATCACAGCCTAATGCGGATCCAACATGTTGCGATCTTGTGATGAAATTTCTTCAACAGTCGGCTAGTAATTTAAGGACCCCATTCTTTTTTACGGTACGTCGTCTAAGTATATTGCTTAAAATTTTATATATTATAATTCAATTACTTCTCTCTATATAGTTACCAAGTAGTAAATTGAGTGATAAAGATCGTGCTGCTGTCACGGCTAAACAACTCTCAGACTTTTTACATTTATACAATCGAGAGACAGATCTTTACGCGGATACAGTTGACCGTCCACGTACTGTTCCGAATCGACTTTTCCAAAAGTTTTTAGTCGCGGCAAGGTAAGTTCGTAGTTAGTTTCTTTTATTTCATTTATATCGTTAATTATTAATATTTGATACTGTCTAACGTGCAATCTAATTATTAAATAGCGAACAAGATCTCGATGATATATTAATTCTACAAACGAGGCTATACAAATGCGCTCACAGTTTTTTGGGAAGAAGCGGTTTTGCAGGAAGTCTACCTGGTCCTAATTTATTGGGTTGTTTGCCCCACATTACGTCTCGCGTATATTCTAACGCTGCAACCAGCGAACAATGCAAATGTAATCAGTCATCAATTACTAGGCCTATAAAAGCTGCGCGTACCTAGCTGTACAATGTGTGAATATTTGTTATAGATACGTCTGTTCGTTAAAAGTACTATGTACGGCTGCTCTAGGACTTCCCAGTACAAGTGGACAATCATCCACGTATATATAATCTTAACGTTTCCCATATAAATATAGCACAGAAAATCATCATAAAACTAATATTTTGGGTACGCTTGAAAAGTGCTTTAATATTCGCTTACCAATTATAAAGTAGAAAAATGAAAAAGTCCGTTATACGATAGTTCCAGCGAATAATATCCCGAACCTCCTTGAAGAAGTTTTCTTGGTCTCTTTAATCGAGTTCATATTCTTACATAACAATTTTATCTTAAAACTAGTCTTTAGCATCAAAGATTCGAAGTTAGATAGGGAATGATCTTAAAATAAAGGAAACGCTCACGGATTTAGGTTTTGCGAGTTTTATCGTGTAAAACATGTGGCCAATTAAAATTGAATCGTTTTAAGATACAACAGGAACTTTAAAGAATAAATAATTCAATTAATAAATTTTAAGGACGTTCACGTTATCGGCCTACGTAACAGGCAATTAATGTTCACTTCTTAAAATAAAATATCAAATTTATTGATCGTGAAGAAACTTTTACAACTTTTACAAAAATATTTAGTTTGACATACTTATTTTACCATTATGTATTAATCATTCGAATATATAATTTTATACAGATCGATTTAACACTTAATTTCATTTAATTAAAATATATATCTTTTACCACAAATTTAGACGGTACCTTAATAATTAACTATCATTCTTAACAATTTTATCAAAGATGTTCCTATCTAAATTATATTTTTGTTCAATTAAAATAAACATATTCATTTATATCAGCTTATATTAGATGCCTCTTTAAGTCTAGCCAAGTTGAAGGCAGACGCATAAAGAATTAGCATGTGTTTTTCATTGTAATCTTATTCAGCATTTTGTTCGACAGTCTAAATTCGTCCATAAAAGATCTAGAGATAGACGTAAAATATAGTAGTTAAAAAAATTACATACAAACATTCAACGAATTGAATTTTTGCGAGTATATAGCTTAGGAAAGAAAATCGGTTTAAGAATTTTTTCGAGATCAATTTTTCAAAGTGCAATAAGAATAAATGATTAATAAATTAAAACTAGGCTCGTTATAAGATACAGAACATATTTGTATAGAAATAGTACATATACAGTATACATGTATATGTACAGTATACACCTAATTGTACAATGGTTTTTAGTCGTGACTCGGTAATATGCCTGATAATATTAAGTTACATGCATTCAGTTTGAAAGAGACATGTACCACAGCTTTCATGATTGTGGTTACTAAATGGAAAATGGGAAATGTTTGACGACACGATTGGCAGGTACCAATCCATTAGATTAAAATCGTATAGGTCTTATCCATCCATATAATGCCGTCAGTATTTAAACAAGGATTTACAGCTTATTCTTCCAAGAAATGTAATGTCATTTGCATTTTACAAGCTTTATACCATTGCACGCGAAAAAAGAAACGGAACAAAATTGTATTTTTCCAATTGCGTTATTAAATCGAAATAGGAAATCCTGGTACACATATATTCAACTCATTTGCTGTGATATAATCGCATATGACGGCATAAGTATCGGTTGAGCGCAGTATCTTTAACTCAATGGCATTCAATGTTATGTATAACATGTTATCGCAGTGGGTTGATCTCACATAGGACGAAAGTCTTAATGTTATCCCTTACTAAGCACAAAGAAAGCTATTGTTCATTGTAGCAGCGAAGAATATTGTTATTGCATAATTGTATTCGTAGCCTGACACGTTATAATCAGTTAAAAGATACGTTATCAGTTTATATTTTGAAGTTTAACGCATCCACCTAAACATACAACGAGTAGGCTTAAAAAATGTGGTTCTAAATGCGTGTTGGCCATGTTCATTTCGTTTTGTCCCGTTGAATTTCACACTTTTCGTATTAACTTTCATTTATAGTGAACGTATGTGTTATTTGCATAAGTTTAGTAGAAATATTTCGTATAGATATCTATTGTTAATTCGAACAATTAATATATGTATTTATATCAACTGAAGAGACATTATTTTTTAATTCATACAATATTATTTTTTTATATACACGCCACACATCACGTTTCATTGCCCGAATTCATATCTACATCTTGTGTCATAATATAAGCGGGACGTTTTGCAAAAAAATACTCTAGCATACCGGTTCAATGTCCGTTATTTGCGTCCATCCTAAATGTATAAAACATTGATGTCGTAAGTCAAGATTATCACACAAGAAGTGGTACGTACTGCCATTATTTTGTAAACATATCTTTTCTTTACAATCGTAATGTATTTTTTATATTGTCAGCAGTTTTATTTAAATAGACGTGCTTTATGTGTTTGAAACGTCAGTCGTGTAAAATAAAAAATGCACAGCAATTTCACTTATTTTTTAAGATTAATATTAGTCACGATTGTTTGAATGAAAAAACATGAAAAAAATAACTTTATAGTGTTCATGTATGTTCTAAATGTTTCTTGATTTGGTAAAGCGGCTAGCGATAAGTATACAATCTTAGCAAACGGAGAGTATATCGAAGTTACATTTACACAGATCGAGGGAAGGCACGAAATGTTAGGAAGCTTATTGATATATTACCAAATATATACATATACTTAACGTATCGTTCTTGTACTTAAATGTTCACAATCTGTTATGCCAAATGCTTTCTGTATTCGTATATGCGAAATATTTATTATGTTGTAATACAGTGCGTGACTGAAAAGTTTTTGAGGAAGATATAGATATTAATTCATGCGTAAAATATCAAAAATTTTTTCTTTCCAATCAATGAAATTTGTCTTTGAATCTTATGCAGTAAGTTTGTTAAAATGTTCAGAGCGTAATTACTTGTAAACTTTAATTAAAGAGGAATGTTGAATTTAAACAATAGTAAAAGTCGTCGGGAACGGTGAAATTAGCAGATGTATATATAAAAAAGGAAATTGTTATTACATACCTCCGTGTTGCGTATGCAACACTCCCTTCCTACCTGTGATTTGTAAAATTTACTAGTCAGCTTACTGCATTTACTATAAATAAAATATTGTAAGAAAACAATCGCTATGTACAACTATTTTATTGTAATCACCGAATATAAATAATGCAATCGTTACTCGGTAATATAACAGCATCGAAACGTCGGCATACAAAATAAATTGCAACTAAGCAAATATTTATTATTGTTAAAAATCTATTGTTGATTGTTATATAACCGAGTACTATGCAGCCTTCTTAGGTTTTAAACATTTAAATGATACCGAAAGGCATCGATTGTATGTACCTACAAGCAAACGTATTTTCGCATTGTAAAATTATCTTCAAATTCAAGTATTTAAAATAAAATGTAATGAATCGGGATATGCATCCCATGCCCTTGCATTTAATGTACCTTAATTAAATATATAATTTATACGGAAATTTAAATCAGAATTAAGGCGCTCTTCTTAGTTACTATGGTTCCATCGCCAGCTGGCGTTGAAAATTGAACATTTTTCCCCAGGAATTATCCTCCATGTTTTATCTAGAAATTAAAGTAGTGATTATTATGACGGAACAATACTTTCCATCGGTTTATTCATAACAACTTGCTCGTCTCATTATGTCGGAAAAAGTTACGTGAAACTTGAGAAATTATTAGAATTACAAAGTAAAATATAATTAAAATAGGCTTATATAAATTAATTATATATGTTACATACAGATAAAGATATTCTTTACTTTTTCTTCGATTGTGCAACGAAATTAATCGGCGCGAAAATGACACGTAAAGAACCGAAACTTTGTAAACATTTATGATCGTGCTTACTAAATAAAGATATTCTATAAATATTTCACCTGCCTAAATGGTCGAGAACAGAAGAATAATGGATTTGAATTGTTAAAGAATGACGTATCAGATGCTTTAATAAATGTAGTGTTTGTGGTATTTGCAAGAAAATGAAATTCTAACACAAACGAAGATTCAATTACAATTTCTGATTTGTGTATGTAAAGTGAAAAAATACTGCATTTATATTTTTATAAAAATATTTTTTTTGTGAGTATATTCTTTATCTCAGAATCTTTATAAAATCAATATTGCATTCATAACAAAGAGGTCACAACAGCCCTATCAAACTTTTATATTTAACATTCTAGGTACAATGGACTCTGAGGGTTCTGTTATATTGGAATCATGCGGAGAACATTCAATTTTAATTCAAACGGTAAAAGACATGGTTAATGTAAATACACATACTGATTTACAAAGTGAGGAAGGTGGATTTTTCGTAGTAACAGATGTTCAAGATGAACAACAAAATGTGATAGAAGTTTCAAATGAGCAATCAACAGTAGGACAGTCTGATGTACAATTTTCCTGGTCTAATTTATGTAGAATATGTGCAAATGTCAATGATCATTTAATCCCAATATTTGAAGGAGAAGGTCTACAACATGACTTATGCAATAAAATACATAAATATTTACCAATATGTGTATGTATTTATTTTTTATTGCTTATTACCTTTATTTATACGTATAGAATGTCACATAAATTATTTTTCATAGGTATCTGAAAATGATGCACTCCCATTACAATTATGTTACCATTGTGCTGCTACATTATTAGCATGGCATGAACTATTAGAAGGATGTCTGAATGCAGAAAGAAGATTATTAGAGATGCAAGATGCTTTGCAAGAAAAACAGGTATATACAAAGACTTAGTTATTCCAACAAGAAATTGTTTTTAAATCTGTATTAATTTCACAGGGTATAGAAGGATTAGAAACTTCTACACAGGATGCAACATCTGCACCTAATGTAACGGAATCACTTGTAAGTATAAGAACAGTACAAATAGCTTTTATCTGTGCATATCCCTTAAATGGTTCTTTTAATTATGTATAGCATCAACAGCAAGAAACTGTAAAGGATGAAGTCTCTGGGAATTCAGCTGTTAATGATTCAGACAGGTAATGACTTCCTTTATTTAAAACAAACTATAGAAAGACTATGCAACTATTGGAGCTATGCAACATGTGTAATTGAACGTGCAGAAAATATGCCCAATATAAATAATGTTACACTCAGTACTTAAAATTTTCACAAAATTAATTTTGATAATGAATATGGAACGAAGCAATGTTTTGAAAATTACTTTACATATTGACTATTTCAATTTGGAGTATGGAACAAGGATTACTGTGATTTCTTTCGATCAAAGCATTTATATATTGTTGTACACAAAGACTATTGCAAGTGGTCTATGCAAACGTCCTGAGAAAATGATGTATGACTGTGAGATTAAGGATTGTCAAGAAAAATAATCTTATTTTTCTCAAGTGCCATTGATTATTGGATTGAACAAGAACAATCTCCTATGTCGTATAACTGCAAATTCGGAGTCAAGTATTGACTGTTTTGCAGGTCCGGTAGTATGCGAACACCGTTTAAGGTGTTCCTAGATATGCAGAATGTATTTCGGAAGCCATACAGAAAAAAGTTCCAGCTACAAGAAAGAAAGCCTACAGACAATGGAGATTGCGATTCGGTGTGGATTACCGTCATGAATTCGACACTTGATCAACCTACTATAATGTCTAACCAACTACAAGACAATGATGTTACTATAAAGGAAGAGGTTTCTCAAATCTATAATTCAGATAGTATGGAAAAATTAAAACTAGATGACGAGACGTATAAACTAACAGATTCTTCAAATGCAAAAAATGGAAGTAAAAAAGTGAAAGGAAGATGTAAAATTTGTTCTAATAATTCAAAAGATTCAAAAGATTCTTGCGAACATATAAAGAATAAAGCTATCATTGATGTTCAAGAATCTTACCAATGCGTCGAATGCGGAAAATGTTTTAAGTTAAAAGATTCTTTTCTCAGACACATGAGGATACATACAGATGAAAGACCGTTTACTTGTCACGTGTGTGGAAAGCAATTTAGGGACTCTGGTGGTCTTTCTAGGCATTTAAAGGACGTACACGCAAAATTAAAAAATTTTACGTGCGATATATGTGGTAAATCTTTCGCATCGAAAGCTACGAGAGAAGACCATCGTCGAACACATACAGGAGAAAGACCCTATGTATGTGATTCATGCGGAAAGACATTTAAATCTAAAGCTTCCTTATATATTCATAGTAAATTACACACGGATGAATTTCCACATCCTTGCTCTTATTGTAATAAAAAATTTCGTAGAAGACAGGAAATGTTAGCGCATGTGACCACTCACACAGGAGAGAAAAATCATGGTTGCGACGTGTGTTCGAAAAGATTTCGAGTGAAATCGGAACTCGTTAGACATAAGCTAATTCACTCTGAAACTAAACCTTTCGTTTGTGTGGAGTGTGGACTCGCTTTTCGACAGAAACGTTATTTGAATAATCATATTAAAAGCAGACATATTGAAACTTTACGAGCATGCTAATATGCAATCTTATCATTTTGCTCTACACAGATATTTGAATTTACCAATAGACAGAAAGCATTCAAATCTGGTACATTTATTATTTTTCCAGGTTTGGTCTACTTCAGAAGAAATCCTTCACAACATATTGCTCATGGCAGCAAGCGAATGAGGCGAATTCTAAAGAAAGAATAAAAGAAAAAATTAATGACGATAGTGATCATTCATTTGAAAGTTATTACAATACAGATTTAAACATGGCAGAAATGGTGAAAGTAATGCTACCTTCTTTGAGAGAAATAAAAAATCAATATACGTGCAAACACTGTCGACGAATCTTTGAAAGAAAATACCACTTATCCCGACATATACTCCAATGTAAAACTGGCAGCTTCACTGAACGTACTATATCAAATGCGAAAGATGTAGATGAAACAGAAGATAAAGATATGAAAAACGAAAATCGAAAAGATGTAAGATTGTTTCAAAAATATAAAAAAAATAAAGTTGAAACGTATCCATGTATATATTGTGATTATGCAGTCAAACAAAAAAAATTGCTCGAACTACATTTGTTGGAATCGCATTCAGAGTTTACCAGAAAGAAGGACAAAAAATTAAAATGTGCCGATCGAGAAATGGTTGTGCGTGCTAAAATGGAAATCGATGGGAAAGTTTATTATCATTGCAACGAATGTGGTAAAAATCTTTATTCACCTTATACGTTCTTCTGGCATGTGCGTATACATACTGGAGAACGACCATATACTTGTCATCTTTGTGGCAAACAGTTTCGTATAAATCAAGGACTAGCGAGACATTTACGAGATACGCATGCAGGCATAAAAAATTTTCCATGTGACATATGCGGTCGAATGTTTTCGACAAAACGTAGCGCGGAAGATCATAAACGTATTCATACTGGTGAACGACCATATATTTGTAATATTTGTGGAAAATCATTCAAGCAAAAGGCTTCTCTATTTGTACATAATCGCACTCATTCAGATGTGTTTCCTTTTAAATGCAATTATTGCGATCAGAACTTTCGAACGAGACCATTACTCATGTTGCATGTAAAGAAACATACAGGTGAAAAGCCACACGCATGCGATATATGTGATCGACGGTTCCGTATAAAATACGAGCTAAAGCGTCATCGTTTAATTCACTTTGATGATAAACCGTGGCAATGCACAGAATGCAATCTCTCGTTCCGACAGAAACGCTATTTAGTTAATCATAAGAAAGTTAATCATAAGTTTGCGGTTCCTATGAAATAATAGAGAAAACTCTCTTTTCAGGTGTAAGTATCAAATGATTGAAATCGATGTAAAACATGAGCCAAGCAATTTGTCTAATAATGAACATACGGAACACCAAAATAATGGTGTCGGAATACAAGTATTGTCAGAGACTGATATTAATGTTAACAAAAACCAAAGAACAGAATCTCAAAGTAGCTTGGGAATTGCTTCTAAAAAATATAAAAAACACGTTTCGTCAAAACGAACTTTGGAACAACGAATTGAATTAGCTCATTCGAAAATGATGGTCAATGGATTTACGTACTATAAATGTGATCATTGTAAGAAAATACTTTCAACCTCGTATAATTTTCTAATTCATCTAAATATTCATACTGGAGAAAAACCGTATACCTGCCACGTTTGCGAAAAAGGTTTTCGTTCAGCATCTGGTTTGAACAGACACGTGCATGATGTTCATGCGAGAATAAAGAAATTCTCTTGCGATATATGCGGTCGATGTTTGGCTTCCAAAGCTTCGCGAGATGAGCACAGAAGAACTCATACAGGAGAAAGACCCTATATATGCGAAATTTGTGGGAAGTCGTTCAAACAGAGGGCATCTCTGCACGTTCACAAATCATTCCATTCAATAGTTCTTCCGCATGAATGCTCCTTATGCAGTCAAAGATTTAAGAGAAAACAAGAATTAGATAACCATACTTTCATCCATACCAAGCAGAAACCTTATTGTTGCGATGTCTGTGGCAAACAATTTCGTAGTAAAGGCTGTATTAGTCGTCATAAACGTATTCATAATAATCAAGGCTCCTAAATTTGTCCCATATGCAATGCAAAGTTCAGTTAAGGACGTTACTTGAAGAGTCACAGCAAGAATTTGCATAAAACTTCGCATTCGGTGACATGATATCGGAATGTTTATTTTGCAGGTGGAAGACCGAGTCTGATCCTGTTATGCAAATATCGACGGCCGAAAGCGAAAGTACAAACGTTGAAGAGGTAGAATATATCCAGTGCGCTCAATGTGATATTGTTTTCGTAAATATGAAGTACCTTATAGATCATATGAACAGCGAGCATGAAGCTCAAATGCATTATTGTCAGTATTGTAAGCTAGTGTATCATGGTAAAGATAAGGATTTTGAGGTTCACATATCAATGCATGGTAGTAATTATAATAAATTAAAAGATGCCACAGAAGATGAAACTTTGGAATACACAAACGAAGTGAAAAAGAAAGACAAGAATAATGAAAAATCTTTTAATCAGGACATTGAAAAGCCTCCGTGTTACACTTGCAATTTATGCAAGAGAAATTTTACAAAGAAGTGTGAATTAAAAAAACACATAAACAGACATTCCGATGTCAACCCGATTCAAAATTCGGATGAGACAGAACTTGTAAATAAAGCAAAACAAATAATTAATGATCGTGTTTCCTACAAATGTGAAACGTGTAAAAAGGTCATATTTACAAAACGGGGATTCCTACGCCATATTCGTGTCCATTTTGATAAACGACCATGTAAATGTGATATATGCGGAAAATCCTATCGTATCGAACAAGACCTAGCTAGACATATACGAGACGTTCACGAAGGATTAAAAAAATATGCTTGCGACATTTGTGGTCGCGCGTTTGCGAATAAAGGAGCGAAAGATGATCATCGAAGGATTCATACCGGTGAACGTCCATACGCATGCGAACATTGCCCAAAAATGTTTCGAACTCTGAATTCAATTTACATTCACAATCGTGTACATACGGATTATAAACCTCATAAATGTTCATATTGTGGAAAACATTTTAGAAGCAGGCAGAGGCTAACTCATCATGAAACTACACATACAGGTATCAAAGCTTTTGCCTGCGAAATCTGCGGTAAAACTTTTTCCGTCAAAGGAGAAGTTGTACGACATCGTGCGATACATAACGAAGAAAAACCTTTCGACTGTAAATGCGGCATGAAATTTGGCCAGAAAAGATATCTGAGAAACCATATAAAACAACATCACAAGGAAGCATCTTCGTGGTTGTTAGCAGAATTATTGGGAAATAATAATTGAAGCACGAAACGTTGAAGTAAATTATGTCTTATAAACATTTTGAACAAGTATTATGAGATAAAATGTATAGTTAGGTATGTGTATTTTACTTTATTTCTTATATCAGTTTTAGAGATTAATCTAAAATATTACACATCAAAATTAATGAGATTATATTGTAGTAAAATTGTATGAAATATGAAATATTTACATATCCCTGTTACATGTATAAGAGTTGAATTATTTTAAATTCAGTTATGTAAAAAAAAAAGAAAAATTCATTTAAATGAAAAGAAAACAGAACAATATAAAGTAAACATAAATAATACTATTATAGTTTATTATCATTCTTTTTATTGTTTAACATATTACACATTTAATTATGCAGTATTATTACAAAATCAATATCAAATGTTTAGTTGTTGCAATATCGTATTTCAGTCCCCAAAGTGTACATATGTGTATCATACATACAGTAAAATACACAAATATGGTAAATGTAAATTTTATAATTAAGGCAATTTTTATATAAAGAATGTCTCAGGAAATATGCACTTTCTTAAACCTGATTGAAATAATAAAAGAACGATATAAAATATATGCCTATCTCATGGTATTTTATAATCTTAAAAAGTCTTAGGAAAACGTGACTTACAAAAGTAAATAATACTATTAATTAAATTCTTTTAGTTTGCCAGCTTTAAAAAATTTATTTTGTGAAGTGACACAGCATCAATTTTTTGAATTTTTGTACTAATTCCTGCAAAATATTTTGCATTTATTTTAATGTAATCTTTCTTATATTTAATATAATGTTTGTTTTACCTGTTCTATGACTCCTGCTTTATCATCTTTTCCCACAGAAGTGTTCTTTTTATCAATGTTGCTTATAGATAGTTTGTTAATATCAATATTCTCCAGTGTATTAACATCAATATTTTTAAAATTATTTAGGTATAATCTTTTCAAATCATACACAATTTGTGTAATATCTACAACTTTCTTTGATGTTTTATTTATCTAATAAAAAGACATTAAATAATATTTATACATTTCTAATAAAAAGATAAAACATTTTTATAAACATAAAAATGAACTTACAAAGCTGATTTTTTGGTTTGAATTCAATATACCTCTTTTTTCAAGGTTTTGGATTCCTTGTCGTTCAGCTAATCTATATTGCTTCCTTTCTGCTTTTGTGCTTCCTACTAAGCTTTGTATAATATTTCTATCCTCAGTGCTTTTCCAAGGGACATAGGTTGCTACATTTTCCTTTAGTATAAAAAAGTATATAGTCATGCATAGCTATTTAAAATCAATATGAAATGATAAATATTTAATAGTTAAAGACCTCTTTCCAATCTTCCATTACAGGAACACATAGGTTTTTAACTGTTTCCAAAGATACTATTGATATTATTCTACATGGTACTTTAGAATTATTTCGTTGTCTTTTAACCTTTTCACTACGCGTATTATTTAACATACGGTCCTGCAATTTCATTTTTTATTATTTTTTAATGCTCATATTTACTCAATTATACTTACTACGTGTACCTTCAACAATACTTTGTCAATTTTGTCACATTTATTTGGATATTTTATTTTTCTGCATAAATTGTTTTTACGAGATTGCACCAAATGGCAAAATAACATGCCTCTATGTACTTTACATTTTTTGTATGAACGTCCCATATTTACAGTTTTATATGAACACGTTATTTTTAAATCTAACATTGACATGTCTATTCTCTAAATTAATGTATTAAGTAATATAAGTATAAATTTTAAAATAATATAAGTTTCACGAATAACGTTTAGAATAATTAATAATATTACTTATTAATACTCACATATTCAATAAACCTCAAACTTAATGCGCGAATGCTACGGAAATGGGAAATGGAACTATGAAAATATGGAATTAATCACGTTTCGTATCCTCGTGTCTCTTCTAGGACAAATTAAATTTGGGCAGAATTTCCGGTATAGAGATTCCGATTATATAAGAAAATAGATAAAACTAAAAATAAAAAGATAATAATCCTTTTTAATAAAATTGATAATTTTTTACATCATGTTTTTATACAATGAATTACAAATTTTGTATCGTCTCATTTTATTTCATTTCTTTTCTTGTTAATCGAATCGTAAATGGTGTTACAAACAAACAATGACGATTTTCATGGGCAACAAGTTTATAGTGATACATATGAGTTAATAATTTGGAATCTTCGAATGAAACATACCTATATATCCCAAACTTGTAATGTTTTACATTAACGTTACAAGTGTATTCTTTTTCAATACATTTATAGTATCTTTTAAATCATTATAAAAAAAGCTATTGGTTCGTGCTTATTTATAATAATTATTTATTTCTAAATTATTCCTCTTCTTCTTTCTTCAATTGTTCATATTAATTAGATATTAAAATAAAGAACCAAATCTCTACAAATTTTTCTATTAAAAATTTATTTTTAGGTTCTTGACATAAAACCAAGATTTGTTTCGTTTTACAGATTCCACTAATTATTCTTTTCATTTCATGAATTTTTATTTAATTATTGACATGTATTAATAATAAAAGATCTTCAATAAAGTAAAGTTGCAAATTTGTTTTTCGTGAAGTAAGAATAATTGCATAAAAAAGTTGCGTATTAAAGAGGATATCATCCTTGCTGGAAGTTTCCGCGTAAGGGGAAAGGTATAAAATAGTATATGGATCACTTGAACAATTTTCAACGAGATCTATAAGTGTTTGACTACAATTCTTTCTTTAAAGCGAATAGAGGAATGTAACATCTGGATAAATACTTTTGTGTAGTTTGAGTTTAAAACAGCACATCTATAGTTAAAGCAACCTTGCACGTAAATGTAATACATAGAAAACTATTTATAAGCGAAACACCGTCATCATATTATTGCCCGAAATAAGTTGCTCCACGCAAACATCGCGGAACATTTACATGGTGTTACGATTATAAATATCATCTACGAAATTTATTTCATTTTAATAATTTTAACAAAGAAAGTAATTAACCTAAAATATTTTTACGAGGACTTTTCTACATTAATATTAATATTAAATGTGTGTGAACGTTTGGTACCAATTAACTTAATGGAAGTAATCAAAAATTTATTAGTAACCATAAAACATTTTCAGCATATTTTTTAACGAAATTTTTTTTATTACATGTACAGTACTACAAAAAGCATATTTTTGCCAATACAAATGCCCAATGATGAATAGCAACGTAAATATTTTATGTTTATGAACTTGTGAGGGTTTCGCTTTCGATTTCATTCGCACATGTCTATTGAGGATATAATCGAAAGTGAGGATAAAATCGAGCTGTTGGTAGAGGGGTAGAAAGCCGACGAGACGGACTGACAAATATATCAGTCTTATCCCACGCAGTGTTGAAGTAAGTGGTCTACCGGAGACAACGGAAAACCAGTCATAAAAATTTGCATTGTGTGAACACACAGTCTGATTAAAAGATATCTTTACACATACTCTACTATATTTACTATTTTAATTATTTCATAGCCGTGTTTTACATAAAAAATTGATACTCTTTTATTTGATAAGTTTTGAATGAACTCATGTATCAATAGTATTCCTAATGATCCCTTACATCATTTAATAAAAAGTGACGGTTTCTGTTTATTAATATTTCTTCAAATTCGATTATTTATTCGGTAATTCGTGTGAAAAAGGGCTGTTACGAAGTATGACTGCTACCAGCTGTTAAATTATTTAATTAATTATTAAAAAGTTAATTATTTAAAAGTGTATCCAACATTCAATATGCAGCGGGTACTTAGCTTTCAAATGGTTCGTGGGGTTAACGAGTCTCGCGAGTTTGTGACAAAACGTATGTGCTTTTCGTTTATATTATCGATCGGATTTCTTACTTTCTTGGGTGGATATACACTTGGTCGTTTTGTCATGATAAGAGCTATGGAATTTCGTGCTGAAAAAAGGCGCCTTGAATTAGCGGGAAACGGGCTAGAAAATACGGAACATCTCCAACGTTTCATGCTCAAGCAACTGGAAAGGGCGTCTCTTGATCCTGATTTTGAAATGTATGTTTATTCATTATTTTTAATCGTAATATCCGACTTTTATATTATCTTAAAATATTTATAAAATAGGAAATGGGATTCCTTCAATTTAAAGGAAGATGATATATATCAAGTGAATAATATTCTATCGAATTTGTCGCTTATTGAAAAGGTCGTCAAATGTCAATCGCACATCGTGGCAACCGCTAGAGGAGCCAGAGAGCCTGGTAAGTTATCTTTTTTGCATTATTTTTAACATAAATCGCATTAATTTACTTACTGTAAATGTTCAGATAGGTACGTAGTTTTATCTGCTAGCGGTGAAGGTGTCGGGATCGCTTTAAAATTGGCAAAAATTTTCAATCAAATCCAAGAAGAATGCACGTGGAAACCTCGTAGATCTATTATTTTTTGTTTATTCTCCGCATCTTCAAATCCTTGTCCAGAAATATTATCCAGCTTTCTGCCTCACAAGATTGTGGCTTATATTGTAGTAGACCATCAAGCTTTACAAGGTTTGTTATCATAGAAAAGTTAGTGGTTATCAATTTTAAACACGCATTTCAATTGATTACAGGTAAAGGCCACTTTATTGTATCTGGATCAGATATTGTACAGTTTATGGTTTTAGAATCTGCTAGCATTGTAAAAGACTGGTTTTCTTATGATAATCAGTTATTGTCCTCAAACAACACATTTTACAATGTTACAACTTCCCGGCTAGCTTTGGACATACCTCATGCAGTACTCTCTTATGTGGTAAACAATAGAAATAATTATAAATATTTATATAATAGACAATCTTCATTGCTTGTCTTTTCCATATATTTTTAGAATAATAATATCACATGCAATGAAGATCATCATGAGAGGGAATTGCATAAAATAATTTTAGTACAAATAGTTGGTCAAACTATTTGGAAGTTCTCTGAATCTTTAATAATAAAATGGAACCCTAGTTATTTTAATAACACTGCCCTTGACATATTAAAATCTATAAACAATACTGAATTGTTGGATGTTAAAGGTACAAAATACATTACATACTATATTACATACTATATACCATACTTGCTTTGACTTTTATAACATTAAATAAAATTACTTTTTTTTAGAGAAAGTACAACGAACCTTGGATAAATTGTTAACTAGCATTAAAATTTGTAATAAAAAAATTGATACAGTTGACAACATCAAGTATGTAATTTTTACAAGTTACATAAAATTCTTATATTTACATGCTACAAATTACAACATTTCAGAAATCTAGAGAATCTATTCTTTTTTTGTTACAGCACACTTGACACAAGGATACTAAATGATTTAATGATGGATTTGGATAGAATTCTTCTATGTCCTGATAAGCAAAATCAATCCAGAACTGATTGGTCAAAATTTTTTAGATTGAATCATGAGTCTTCAGACAAAATCATAATGTACATGAACGAAGTGGTGAAGTGTTATGAAAATGCTATACAATTTTTACAAGATCGATAGAAAAAATATAAAAGTACAAAACATTAGATATGGAATTGTCTTTTTAAATGACTGTGGTAACATTTAATAATTATCATTGACGTTTTTTGACACTTTTACCATATACTTAGCTTAATTTTTAGAGTTCCTATTTTTCATTTGCATATCATTATGAATTACACAGACACAAACATTTATACACATACAAGTGAGTACAAAATATGTATTATTTTTACCTGTGATAAATTAGATCAATTTAAATGTTCTACAACTTTAAATTAATGTATGTTTCCTATGCCATATCTTATTTCTCTCTCAAATTGAGAAGCATCAAGTGTTCCTTCGATAGCTTTGCAATTTGGATTAAATACAGAATAGGCACTAAGTTCACCCGACTTTTTTGGTTTAGATCGAGTATTTAGACAAATAAATATTAATGTAGACAAAATAAAATATACTGCTCCAAATTCATATTGAATCGCAATTATATACAAGGTACCCCATAAAAGAAAATACAGTAGATATGTCACTATTCTTAGCATTGTACATTGTGATTGGTCTACACTGTCATCTGAACAGGTACTTTCCGCATCCTGGTCATCCTGCAAACTTTTCATCCTTAATCATACTGATTTATTGTATAAATTTTACAATAAATATTATTTCTTATGTAACAAACGTATTTATTATAATATCCTCCAATATTATTCACTATATAAAAGAACATCCATAACTGGATGGAGAGTCATAATCATTGTCATAACATTTACAGTATCTTACATGTGTCACACGTAACATAACCTTACCTTGATATCGGATTTTAACGGTGCTGCCACCGAAGAATCTTCAGCTGATTTATTTCCATTCCACGGTAGGACAGTTTTTATCACATTCTTAATAGATTCTATCATTTCTTCCCTTCGTTTACGACGTCTATAAGCTTCGAGTCTCTCTTTTATGTCACTTTGAACCATATTGAACGTAACCGTCTTCTTCTATCAGAAGTACATTGCGTTATATTTATTCATAACTCGGTATACTTTACGATATAAGTGATATAACAAAATAACAATCATTTTGCAAATGATTGGTCACTTATCGCAGCTGTATTATTTGCACATCTTATTATTGGTCGATATGTACATGATGTATACATACTACATACATATAAACTGTCATTAATATGCTATTAAAGGTTAATTGAATGAAGTTTGTCCAATATATGTACATATATTTGAACAATTTATTATGTATAGTAGAACAAGCCGATATTATGTTAAACAATATGATTTTACAAGGAAGATAGGTTAACAAATATTTTTATTAAAATAGTACTAATGGCGAATCAAGCCAAATGCGCAACACAATCTGATTCTATTGACGTTAAATTACTCAATGTATTAGATACTCGGTTACTCGGTGGTGCCGTTGATTTTGGATCTTCTTTCATCATCTCCGGGATTTTGGCGATCATATTTAGAACTATGATTGCTCCGGTTGAAAGGGTTAAATTGATTTTACAGACACAGGCGAGTAGCCATCAAATAGGACATGCGAAACGATCCGCATACTCTGGCGTTTTAAATGCACTTATTAGAATACCTAAGGAACAGGGGTTCCTGTCTCTTTGGCGCGGAAATGTTGTCAATATTTGTCGATATTTTCCAGCCCAAGCAATTAATTTTTCCTTTTACAATATATACTACGGAATGTTCCAAAAAGTTTGTCCGATAGATTATTAATAAGAATACTTTTTTAAATATAATTTTGCGCGCGTAAACATCAAATAGTGTTACGTAGATGATCGAATCGAAGAATTACAGTCACATCGTTTTGCCATTCATGACCGGTGGTGCCGTCGGTTTAACATCCTGTGCGGTTCTCTACCCCCTTCATTTCTGCAATACTCGAATAACCGTAGATGTTGGCGACAGCAAGATAGTTAAGAGGGAGTTTTACGGATTCAGTGACTGCATATGCAAAATTTACAAAAACGACGGTTTAAAAGGATTATATCAAGGACTGTCTGTCTCGATTTGCGGGCTATTTTTATACAGGTTTGGAGTATTTAACAATAATTGTATCAATTGATTAATCAATCTCAAAAGTATTGACCGTCTATTGAACGAATTTATACATTTAAATATTTCAACTTGATTCTTTATTTCTTACATTATACACTAGGTGCCCTGTATTTTACAAAACTCAACCTACGATTATTTTTGATTCTATCAACAAATAAGTGTTTGACGATAGATGAAAGGACAACATACAAATAGATATCGTGACAATAAAAATTTATTTATAACCTCATAGTGTGGTGATGCGAATAAAAAATTTTAAATGCATTTTGTAGGTCCATTTACTTTGGTCTTTATGCAACTGGTAAACGAACATATTTGAACAATTATGCAACAGATCATGACACAATGAACGTACCATTCTTTATGTCCTTGGCCCTTGCTCAATTATCTTCTTGGATCGCGACAATTGTGTCCTATCCCTTCGACACAACGTCTAGACAAAAAATGCTTTGGAGCGGCCGTGGTTCGAGAAGTTTCGTGTCAGTGCGACACGTGGTCAGTAAAAAATTCTGAAACAATTTTAATGAGAATTTTAAAGTTTCGTTTACTGAGTGCGACTATCCAATACTCCGTCAGATCACTACTATCATAGAAAAAGATGGTCCAATTGGTTTTTATAGAGGCTTAACTGCTAACTTAATGAGTACTCTTTGTGGATCTTTACTTCTGGTTACATACGATATAGTTAAGCTACGTTTTGATCAGTTAATGGAGTCGAAGGTATTCTGTTTGTAAACTATTTGTTATTTTAAAAGTCTACATTTAAAAAATTGCATTTTTTAGAATACTAAATCCGAAACTTAAAAATTGTTAAGAAGCTTAAATGTTTAGCAAATGTCAATACAAAAGTAAATTTAAGATGGTACATTATTGGATTATACTTATACACATAAACGGTAATAGTTTATACAAATAAATTCTGAAAAAAATAAACCAGTGTAAAAAATAGTTTATAATAATTCATAGAATTTGTTTATACGCCTACTTAGAATTTACTACACGATAGTATCAGTGTTTGTTAGGAAAATTTTGTACAAGTAATACATAATTTTCTATGAGTCGAAGATTACAAACAGAAATTGCCAAATGCAAAATGATGCAACGTTGTGAATCCAAGAATGTGTAACTGGCATTATCTAAAGCACGCGTATTGAGTTAGGTTAAATAAAAATTACTTATGCTAGATAGATCGTAGACAGTATAATAGTCACGTTCATGCATTAAATGCATTTTTCCAGTTTCAAGCAATCTTTCAAACTCTATGCTCTTGACCGTGAAAAATGCGTACTTTGAACGAACTAATCCTCGGCGGTTTCTGTTTTATATCTTGAATAACCTCCATATTTTATATCGGTTGGGAAAGTATATACATGTATTGAGATCTCGATCTGCGTATAATCGCTAAAAATTATATAACAAATCGCTCCTTACAGAAACTTCGTAGTGTCATAGTAATATTCTATCGTGACACATAGAGCGCTCACGGTAGAATCAGTTACAAACATACTAAGTGTTGCGTGTCCATACATCCAGATGGTGCGTGTCCATACATCCGAAGAGGTGACCTAGACTTCTGTTTACTCTACCCTGAGTGCATCAAGGGTAAGACTGGGAAGTAGGCAGTGCGAATAAAACAGAATAAATAGAGTCTAATAAGCATAGAGATATAAAGATAGAGTACGCGGGTCATACGTGATTGTGTAAGTGGATGCAATATGGGAATAAAAAGAGAACGCTGCATAGAGGGTGTTGTCTAATCAACCTGCACACTGATGTCGCTAGCTGATCGGTGTTATGCTTACATATTTACTATACGAATGCGTATGCGTTATTATACAAAGGCACAAGATGTCTCTATGCAATGTTCTTTTTCTATTCTTATATCGCTTTTTCAGCTCGTTCACGAACTCTATTTTTATACCTTTATGGTAATGAGATATTGTAGAATCAGGTTTATTACTCCTCATCACATTTTACATATTTCTTTAGTTTAGTTAAAAATTATTCGTCAAATATAGTTGCGTTTGGTATCGTTTTGATTGTACGATTGTCAATAATCCGATTAAGGAATTCTCCTAACAGTATAATAAAAAATTAAAAAAGATTATATTTTTCCTATTCCGGTAATTCGTTATCGGCTTGAATTACAATACATCGATGAAAATCATTGATAACATAGAACCTCGAGCCATGAATTCCAAGAATTGATGGAGATAACCTTATAGGGGGGGGCAAGTTCGTTGCATATGCATATATCTACACATTGTTGTGTATATAGTAGTTGCAGAATCACGTTGGCAATCACAAGAAAAGAGGATGGAGCACCTTAGAAACAATAGTTCTGGTTCTTTGGCCATTGAAAGTGTCCGTGAAAGTCGTGTGCTCGTTCTTTATACCGGCGGTACCATTGGAATGATTAGAAATGAAGATGGAGGTAATACGTTTCTCTTTCTCTTTCACGTGAAATTATGATTGAAATGGTTGTCGTTAAAACTGTGAAGATAATACGATTTATTATCTTACTATAGTTCTCGTCCCTAAAGCGAACGCTTTCGTGAAAAAACTGCGAAATTATCCACACATTTACGATCGAGAATACGCGGAAAAACGATTCGGATTGATGGGGCCGCTTGTACTTCCGTAAGTGCATAATCGATCTAGCGATTGAAAAAAGAAGAAGTTAATAATCCTGATAAATTCGTAACGATACCTGACCAACTAATAGGTATTTATTTTTATTTGGTTTTTCTTTAAAGAATGACTGCGACAGACAGCAAACGTGTCATTTATAACGTATTGGAATATTCGCCACTCTGTGATTCTAGTAACATGACAATGGACGATTGGATTCGTATTGCCCATGATATCAAGGTAACTCCTACTATGCAAGTATACATAGTTGGAGATGTTATATGTATGGTTTAATCAGATATATACATATATTCATAAGACCTCTTTGGGGAATGTATGCAAAGAAATGAGAGAAACATGAAAGCACGTAAATAACGTTAGAACATAGCGTAGAGATTTTTCCGATACCGCAATTACGCTCATTAAAGTGCTTGAAATACTATTAATATCTCTTCTTTCGGAAATAAATACTTTAAATACCGGATATTTTTAGAAATAAATTTTATTTTATTGTAAACTGTAGACAAAGAGTTCCGAAAGAGAAATAACTAACTAACTAATTAAATAAGCTTTACACTCAACAGGATATTTGCTGTTCTAGCAAGCTTACGAACGTTTCGACGGATTCGTAATTCTACATGGGACAGACACGTTAAGTTACACGGCATCTGCTCTATCTTTTATGCTCGAATCTTTGGGCAAAATAGTTATTTTAACTGGCTCTCAAGTCCCAATTTTCGACAGCAGAAGCGACGGTTTGGATAACTTCCTGTCATCCCTAATAATAGCTGCAAATTACAACATACCGGAAGTATGTGTATACTTTGGAACAAACTTGATGAGAGGAAATCGTACCTGTAAAATATCGGCCACTTCGTTCGAGGCGTTCGATTCACCGAATTTTCCACCGTTGGCTAAGGCCAACATCACGATAGAAGGTTAGCAGTTGACCCAATTACAGGATACAATTCGCTTAATTGACTGTGGTTTTGTTCGTTTCGTGCAATCTTCTTCCACGAGATATTCTTTTGTCCGTTAAATGGAACTCTAAATGCAAATCGATACATGCAATAATAGCGTAATACGTACCAGATGATATTACAATTCTATGACGTTCGAAGATTCTTATCAGGAATCTATATTTGGAAACTGGTAGTTACATTAGCATTATCATATAAAATAACGTGTTCGTATATGTTAATTTATTGAGATATGCACGTGTTAAACTTCTTTACAAACTACTGTTACAATATTGAAAATGTAGTTAAAGAGAACATACATAACGTGTACAATTGTAGTTTAAGAATGTCTTTAATATGTGCCGTTTTATCAGCGTCACTGTAATGTCCATATATGTATGTGCATTGTAGTGGATTATCGGGCAATATTCCGACCATTTACGTTGGAAAAGTTTCACGTATACGCGTCCTTGAATAGAAATGTTGGATTGCTACGGATATTTCCAAGTATGACTACGCACTTGGTAAGGGCATTTCTACAGCCCCCGATCGAAGGTGTGGTGTTACAGTCTTATGGAGCAGGGAACGTGCCCACGAACCGAGAGGATATAATTAAAGAATTGTCCGCAGCTACAAAACGCGGAGTCATCATCGTCAATATTACACAATGCGCGACAGGCTGCGTTAAGAATTCATACGCACCTGGAAAACTTCTCGAGGATGCTGGTACATTTAAAATTATGTTAAAAATTCGCGATTCAAAAATTGAATCAGATCTAAATACAAAAGTTTAAAAATTTACAGGCGTAATATCGGGTTCTGATATGACACCAGAAGCTACGTTGACTAAACTCGCTTACGTATTATCGAAGAAAGAATGGGATTTACAAACGAAGCGTCAAATGATGCAGACGAATCTCCGAGGAGAATTAACTGCTCAACGACCGCCGTATCTCGAGGATATAGATCTCGTGGAGGCGGTTGCCAGATCTCTGAGACTTTCTTCAACGGCGGAACGTCAAGAATTGGGATCGATTCTTTTCCCTGCGATGTTGAACGCTGCCGTGAGGAGCCGCGATGTCGTGAAACTCGAAATCTTGAAAGGATACGTAAGTATATGTAATTAAGCCATTCATACGACATTCAATTTCTTTTCTCAAAGTAGTTTATACTTTTCGACTAGGGTGCAGATATATCGCAACAAAACGCAGATGGTCGGACGGCATTGCATATTGCTTGCTGCGAAGGTGATTTAAAAGTCGTCCACTGTCTTTTACGAATGGGTGCGAACGTTCACATCAAAGATCGATTTAACCGTACACCACTTACCGACGCGATAGAGTTCGATCATCACGAGGTATAATATCACTCGAACCTTGTATTTCGCATTTATTCCATTTCATGTCCCATTTCCATTTCGATTTTCCAGATCATTAATATTCTAATACATAATGGTGCACACTTACACGGAAGCGCATATATAATAGGGGAGAAAATGTGTGCCGCTGCAGCCGTTGGAAACGTGAAACGTTTAACGTCGTATCAATTAGCGAACGCAGACCTTTCGCAGAAGGATTTTTCTGGGAGGACACCCTTGCATTTCGCAGCGCTACATAATAACACACAAGCTGTTCAATTCTTATTGGATCATAACGTGGAGACGGAATGTTTCGATAAAACGGAACAATCGCCGCACGATCTTGCTAAAGCGTCGGGTTCCGCAGATGCGGCGAGATTGTTGTCACCGTTTTATTCCCCGAACTCGCTAGTTACGGAGGAAACTTCGAGATGAAAGTGAAACGACCGCTGGTCCGTAGCTATAATCACACAGTTTTACACAAGAAATCACATCAGACTAAAAATAAAACCCGTGTATCTACGTTAAGTGGAATAGTATAAAATGGACATCTGTTCAACTATCTTTGTATTGTATTCGCGTCCTAGTTGAAATAATACGATTGCGAAGACGGCGGACCACGTAAATACGTTAATTTGTCGCAGAAGAGTCGTTAAGCATTTCATACAATAGTTAACGAAAAGTGAAAGTCTAAAGAGACGGTGATTATGACTGGATCACGCAGCAGTGCACGCGAAAAATATTTCGCGCAGGATAATAACGTATTTCCTTGAGCGTGGTAAAGTGTGAGTTTGAAGTGTGAAAAGCCGATGTTCCTTCATTTTTGTACATAAATATTCCCTTCTGTATTTGTACAGTAATAGAGAGTATGCGTTACATCATCACACTATCCCAAGCTCGTCCATTACGCTTTTTAAAAGCTTCGGCGTTATTAAACAATCCTTATAAATGTAAGCGCAATTATGATTTCCCTTTCGTCCGGTAATTACAGCATCTTGAATGATCGTACCATTTGTAACATCTTTGAACCAGCTGTGACTGTTGATAAATCAATTTAAAACATCCTCGTAATATCAAGTTTCTGAGTGTTCTCTCTCTAATCTTACCTTGATAATCCATCGATTATTTTATCTGTACTCGTTGGATTCTCCGAATTCGCGGCTACTGAGACGATCGAACAAACGATACGTTGCATGCACGAAACCACGTAATCGTTGCCGAACATCATTTCATTAATTGCGTTCCCTATATGTAACCATTGTCCATTATCCGTCGAGCCTAACGTTATATACGATAAGAGAAGAAAAAACTATTAATGAATATAGAGAATTATAGTATCATTTACTTACGATAATTATACTGTGGATGCGCTTTCGAGAATAATGGCGAAACTACTCTAAACAGGGTGGCCATTAATCCAACAATTCCAAGGCTTTTCGTGTTAACGTTAAACAACGATGGAAATTCACCATTCTCCCCTATTTTATGTTCGAACGGTATCGAAAGGAAAGGAATAGTTACAGCCCAATCAATCTGTGACGATTATTATTATTACAAATAAGAAGACTTTTTATCTGAATCGAGTGAAAGTTAACGATTACCCGAATTTTCTGAAACTTACACGAAATTCTTCTTGTTCCGAATCGAACGAGATCAACCCACCATTTGGATGCTTTCCAAATATCTTACTGTGTGTCCTCGACGTTTTTGCCTTTCCATTAACGTTATTCTTTGGTTCAGAAAGGTGCAGCAGACAACATAGCGATAACAATATAACGTAGTATTCGAACGAATTTCTCATGATTTTTATCGTTCTACTAAAAAAAAAAAAAAAAAAAAAAAAAAAAAAAAAAAAAAAAAAAAAAAAAAAAAAAAAAAAAAAAAAAAAAAAAAAAAAAAAAAAAAAAAAAAAAAAAAAAAAAAAAAAAAAAAAAAAAAAAAAAAAAAAAAAAAAAAAAAAAAAAAAAAAAAAAAAAAAAAAAAAAAAAAAAAAAAAAAAAAAAAAAAAAAAAAAAAAAAAAAAAAAAAAAAAAAAAAAAAAAAAAAAAAAAAAAAAAAAAAAAAAAAAAAAAAAAAAAAAAAAAAAAAAAAAAAAAAAAAAAAAAAAAAAAAAAAAAAAAAAAAAAAAAAAAAAAAAAAAAAAAAAAAAAAAAAAAAAAAAAAAAAAAAAAAAAAAAAAAAAAAAAAAAAAAAAAAAAAAAAAAAAAAAAAAAAAAAAAAAAAAAAAAAAAAAAAAAAAAAAAAAAAAAAAAAAAAAAAAAAAAAAAAAAAAAAAAAAAAAAAAAAAAAAAAAAAAAAAAAAAAATTGAGCTGTAAAAACTGGTGCTGCTGCAGCTAATTGAAGCAAATTACCAGTGGTAGAGAATTTTTGTTATACTTAGGATAGATCTGTGGTGGCTAGTAAATCGACTAATTGGTACGAACACAGGAATACGTGTGAGCAATCCTTGATCTCTGCTGGCAGTTTTTGTACAGAAGCTAGCCCACTCTTGACAGGTAGGAAGCTCTATTCCGACGAGCGGAATTAACGAACCTAAGAGAGAATTCTGGTTAAATTACTGTACCGAAACAACGTCACCGCAGCTGTTACGCCGCTCATCGTCACGCCTAATTCCGCAAATTCGCGCGAGTCCACGTTTCGTAATTACATATTCCCTCGTATTTCGTTATTTTCGCTAAGGCTAGTCTAGTTTAAGGATCTTCCACATACATTGCACGATACAACGTGCCACACGCGCGCAGAAATATTTTCGTCGATCGAGCGTTGTTTCATTAAAATTAAAACGAAACACAGCAGGATAACGATCGAGAGACACTGGCAATACTTGTTTAATTTATGTGCGCATTCATATGTGAGGTTTGTCAGTGCACGCATACGAGCCTCGACTTTCGTGAATTTTCCAGAGCAACCTGCAGAACGAATTCCTCGTCTTAAAATCAGGTAGACGGCGAACGCATGGTCGCGAAACCTGCATATGGCGTTTCAATTTCACGAAGTTTCTGCAGCCTTCTTACGAACAAAAATGCCCTTTCCCATTTCATTTACGAAATTGCTGCTGGATTATCGCCATCGTCGATCGTTGTCACGGACTTTGATTGACTGAAATAAAATCTATGTACCAAAATGGTTTTATTACAACAACGATTACGATAAACAACGTCTTATTTTCCGCAATGTAACATCGCGTAGTCGATTGTTTCTAAAGAAATCGTCATAGACCTAGGAAGAGGTGGGCGAACGCGTTAACAGATGCTTATCGATCTTGCGAAAGATAAATTATTTCAGGCTCGACAACAATGCCGTTGCGAGTGATTCGTAGCGACAGTTTAGCGTATCGCTGCTTCTTCAGAAGACACGAGCGGGTCACGGACCGTGATAGCGTCCCATGGAAATCTAACAATGAAAGCGAAACCACCGGCTCCAATTATGTCCATGGTTTGTCATGTCGTGACGATTCGGAGTAGGTGCATGACTATATATGCCAGGGACAATGTTCGTGTCGCCCAGTTTCTTCAGAGCCAAACGATACAACACAGCCACGAGGACTAATTTATTTTTCACGTTCCACGGAGGTATGCTTCGTAGAGGTAGCAAATTCGCGAAAGAAAATGTTCACTGTGAATAACATCTTGTTTGAAATCTTTTTGTCGCAGATGTCGTTTAATTTCCGGAATCCTGTCCTGCTCTTGTTATCTTTGACGGCGATCGTCGGAGGCAACCCCAAGTTTGACGATGGAGGGTAAGATTCTTGCTAAGTTCTGTAGTGGTTATACGAAGACACTTCTTACTCAAACGGCTTTTCCAAGCTCGTTTCGAACTTTTTATCTCCTCATTCTTCGTCGAGTAATAATTCTCACGACTGAGCGAAACAAATCGTAAACAGGTTCATACCGAGTTCCATGATCTATCTGGAAAAGAACGCAAAGTCCCAAGATCAGATAGCTATGCCTTCCGAGCCAAGGCTACGCAGTGAGACATCGACAAAGCGGAGTGACGTGGACAACGACGTGGATATTACGGACCGTAGCCAAGAACCTCGATTTGGTTTCACGAACCTTGGTAGCACAGGAAGCGTAAGCAATCTTCGTTGAATCTGATCTTTATCGTCGATATTTAAGTAACATAGACATCGACACAGGGTTACGGAGTATCAACGTATGCACCGGCGAAGATAGACTTGGGAGGATTGTTCTTGGGCGCCATCATAGGGATAGGTTCCATCCTCATCATACCTAAACTACTCTACATTCTATCTGGCACTTACGGCCATTATGCAAGAAGTAAATTACTTAAAGCTTTGTTTAAAAGAAAGGAAGATAAGAAAAACCATGAATTTCGCTTTAATACAAAATAATCGTCTCTATCGTAGGCGAGGAGAGTGGCTTCTCTCAAATCATGACAAGAATGGACGACGTTCTGGCTCGTCACGGTATCGACACGACATCCTGCATGCAACGAGCCGTCTGTACTTATTCGCAACAGGCCTCCTCCTCGGTGAAAGAGGCCAATAAGCTAAGCGACGATGAGAAGGCCTCGTCGTTCGATCGCGTGATCGATACGATCACGACGAATCAGATTTTCCGAACGGCCATGGAAGGAACCGCGATACAGGAAGCGGTGGAAGCAGGGAGAGCCGGTCGAAATTGTTCGCGGACTTATTCACATTGCGGATTTTCCATGGAAACGATACTGTCTTTATTATCGAACGTAATTACCACTGTCGCCGCAGTTAATACAGGAACCACGACGCCCACAGGAAATGGGACGTTATAATCGCTAAGAGTGAAAATTTCTGATTACGCGGTAAAATATCCCGCTACGATTCTCGGACATTGAAGCGTAATGGAAATGTAGTCGTCTTTAGGTAAAGTTGAACAGGATAGTAGCGAAGAATACATTAGCGCCATATGATAAAACGTATATCATATTATACGGTTTGATTTACGTAATTGAGTAGTCATTTATCATAAATACGATCAGTTCCTCGTGATGCGATTGAAATATTATTCGTAAATGGAATTAGTCGCAAGTATCTTTTAACAAATAAAAAAGGAACAAATTGCAACAATTTCCTTTTACGTTTATTTGGTCTTATACGCATGCGAACCGAGAAAAGTGAAATTGTTCCCGCGTAATATGACGAAGTTGCTAGTTCGCGCAGTTTGGCGTGTAACGCGACGACTTTCCTTCGACGTAGACACTTATTCTTTACACAATCCTCGTGTAAAGCAAACAGGACCTTATGTAATTACATAGCGTGACGATCTGTTATTTTTTAGTGTGAACACGATGTACAACGTTGTACGCTATTTTAAAGGTTTTACGATCTTCGATGTAAATACGATAATCCTTTAGAGCGTACATAAATATAGAATTTTTCCATTAAAATGCATGAGTCGCGTGCGAGGTGTTGATTCCTAAGAGAATTAAAATGAACTTTGTCAAATTAACGTGAAATATCGAACCGTCGATATTCGAATTGGAACTTAAGCCCCCAAGGTAGTTCTCGAGGAATTCGTTCTTAATTACAGATTATACAGCACTATGATATATTCACGTTAGTAAAGTGCAGTTTCGCTTTTACAGAAAAGATATTGGAAATTGTCTGTTATACTCTGCACATGTAATTATATGTACATATCCTAGAAGTTCTTTGGTCCTTAGCAAAATACATAAATCTTCGTTGAACGCATTGTTAAAGCTATGTAATTTAGTTGACATTAATAAATTCAACAAACACAAGCAATCAAGCTTAATGTCGTTTGAATAATCCTATTCTGGAACGTATCTTAATCGTGATATAAAAACATGTTTGGAGCTTCTTAATTATGCAAATATAACGATAGACAACATTGAAGCAATTAACATTGCCGTGAATTTCGTATTGTTTCACAAAGTACATTCAGTAGCTGAATAGTTACCTATCTTATGAACATTATCTGATTTTTACAAGAATAAGATTTTTGGTAATTACAATAATATGCTCGATGTACCGTCGTCTACGAGCACTTTCGACTGCTAGAAATATCTTTTTGTACCTGATTCTTTCATTAAATTGGCAATGAGATTTTCTTTTCTAGACAATAACACTTTTCAATAACTTTCACTTGGTAAATATAAGAGAAGATTTTTATATAACGATCATTTCATGTACTGTCGCTTTGGTAGAAGGAGTATAGCTCCTATAGCGACACACACGTGCCACATACTGTGCACAATATAGTAATTCTTTCTTGTCTGCAGAAAAGCGTAACAGATAAGACCGAGGGAGACTAGAAGGAGACCAGCCGGAAAATAAATGCTTCTGTAAATGAAAACAAATTTCACTTAAAACTAATCTCCTTTATAAATTTCTTAAAACGTTCTACTCACCTGTAGGGACGCGATGGATAACGAACCGTACCCCTTCTTTTGCATCTCATGCCCCAGGACAAACCGATCAGTGCAGAGCCCGTTATGGCTGGCAGGAGAAACACCCATAGAGCTGTACGATCCATTTCGGCGCTCATGGCGAGAATAACAGCACCGGTTATTTGACAAAAAGCAGTGAGCTTTGGACCAAACGAAGCCATTGCTACCAACGTCACCCAAATGGACAGAAGGGCGTTGAAGAAGTCACAGAATTGTAAAACGCCCAGTCTCATGATGCATATGCCGTACACATCGTCTCCAGCTTCGCAGGCATGATAGAACGTCGAGAAAAACATGACAGCGGCGTAAACCATCGCCTCCGTAAAATACTCTCTACGCACGGCCACGTAAACGGAGCCGATAAATGCAAGGTTGCTGATCGTTAGCCATAGTACGTGGATTATTACGTCGCTATTGTCGAGAACATAAGTGTCATCCGCACAATCGAAGCCTCTGTAACCGCCCGAACAATAACACGCGGCGAACACGAAACCGCCGCTCATGTAATGCATGCATTTCCCGTGAGAGTTACAGAGACCTTCGATGCAAGGTAACGAAGAGATACGACTCTCTAATGTGGAGTTACAAGGAATCATGCAGTCACAGTCCTCGCAGGCGGTCCCGTTCAGACAAGTTGCTATACAATGGCAATTTTCTTCTACGCAAAATGCTCTCAGACTTATATGCCAGATTCCTGGCTCCGGGAATGGAACGTGAAGGGTAGCTGGTCCTGTAGAGTTTACGTAAATGTCTGCAGCTGTCGTGTTCTCCATTCGAGTGCAGCCTCCACCGGCAGTGATATTCGAGTAATAACCTGGTAAATCAGGATTTGTTTTAACGACTATATCTCTCTTATTATTCGACTTTCAGTTGCTTACCTAATGAAATGCACGCGACCACGACGACGTTCTTCTTCTCCTTGTCTTTCGCGCCAACTAGTTTCAAACTTAGAGTCAGAGTTCCACCGACGTCGTACACTCGACCGATTTCGAAGCTGAGGACGGACAACGTGTCTGAGGTTAAATTAAACGCCGATGGTTTTGTGGCGTTTCCCTGCAGGTGCTGGTAATCGAAGAGGAAAAAGTCAGGCGAGGACTTTCTCATCAAATCCACCGACTTCACTTGATCCAACTCGTCAGCGGGAGAATTGTCGAGCAACTGTAAGGACACGTTAGAGCCCTCTCCGGAGAGCAACTGGAGGGTAACATAGTGAAACGCCTCCGAATAGGGTTTGAAGAATACCGTGGCGTTTGTAGTATTCATTATCATTCCCGTGATGTGATCCTCCGCAGTCACGTGGACCGCGATCCTGCATTCTTCGCCGCAAGTCGATTTTAATGACAAACTAGAATCCACGAATTCATCGGGTATTAACAACTGCATCACAGCCGAGTCCGAGCTTCCGTTCATATGTACTTCGTACTCGTATTTCGGATCCATTGGCAAGACTATAGAGGCAGATTCCAAAAGCAAGTCCGCATCCAACACTGTATGGCACGATGCTCTAAGTCCTGGAAATAACAATACGTATTTTCAACCGCTATCATCGTGCTAACGTCAATTGATCTTTATATTTTATCTTTTTTTTTTTTTGGATGATCAACCTTGTTGCGTGATCTTTCCGTTATTAGGGTCGCTCCAAGATCGAAACGCAATAGCATACCAATCGCCTGGCGCGGGTGCATCGATTTTTAGCATACATTCATCCCCGTTGCTTTGCATGTTTAGCGAATAATATCGGCGTCTTCCTTTCATAAGTTTCGCCGCGATCTTCGATCCATCTGGCCGCACGAACGGTAAGCTACCAGACTTCAGAAACACGGAAACATTTCTAGCTGAGCATCTACCTATTCCACCAGACTTTTCTTCTTTTGCGGTGAACCTAAAAGAAATAAACAATGTTCATTCATTTTCCATATAGAACAAAGTAATAGTCGAGGCTCGATTCTTTCCGCGCTATTCTAAGTTTACTTGAATCCTGCAGCCACCGTGCAATCCGGAACATTGAAGTGGATAATGGAGATGTGACGATAGGCGTAATAGTCGTTGAGAATATTGTCGGGTCGATGAACAACCCGTTCCAATTTGCTGCACAGACATCGTTGTGTCGCGAAGATCCATGCCAACGAAATAACTAGTACGATATCTCGCATATTATAGATCGCCTCATAACAAGCTACTTCTTCGATGGATCGGAGAAGGTATGTTGTCCTGACAACCTGTGCAGAAAAAATGATATACGTATCGGTAAGAGTTTATTTCCTAACTGGAAGAGCGAGTGTGTTAATAGATGGAATCACAATTTTGCAGAGTCAGATTAAAGATAATGGAGTGGATAAGATTACGCGTGGCCAGTAATCAGTCGCGATATAAATCAGGAAATATTCCAATTCGTGGTAATTCCCGAGCAGGAAATGAAGTAACATGAACTATACCTTAACTGTTGATTTTTACGAGGCTCGTTTCAGACGTTGAAGAAGTTTCGTGCGATACGTGTGATACGCGCGACCAAGTAGGTCAAATACCGTTGCCAATTCCCGCGCTTCCTGCACTTGCAAGACGCGATTGCTTATTTGACTGCGCTTCCGTGCCATGATACAGAATAGCGCTCCTATCGGATTGAAACTCGTCGTCATAGAAATTATAATCTCGAATAATACGAATTTTTTATATTCGGTAGAAATACTTTAATAAGTAATCGAATAAATCCATCGGAAGCGCAGAAATTGAAAGCAATATTTATCGTAGATATAGAAGATATAATATGAATTAAACGATAATACGGTAATGAAAAAAACATAGTGCGAAAATTATCTGGTGACTTATGGACTAGTACCAGAGAATTATTAAGAAAATCGTAGCGAGATACGAATAGAAATTGAGAGATACAGCCGTTCGAATGCTTCGTATACTACTTGAAATAAATTAGCCGAGTATCGTGATAATCGAACGAGTCTGTTAAATAATGTATGAAAAATTGATTTTCTATAACGCGACCACTCACCAATTTGTCTTCAATAGTTAATTGTCGATTCGTTTGCGAGCTCGCTTTTATAATGCATTCGAGTTACTTTTCAGTGAACGCGTTACGATGGATGCGCAAACCGATATTCGATTCTATACGAATAACTTAAGGATCGTATTTCAGTTAGAATCACTTAATATCTACATATACGGTCTAAGGAATAATGCATGGAAAGCTGTTAAGTGGTCGTTTAAAACAATGAAAAGCAGAGATTAATTATCGTGCTTTATGGACTCGATTGGTACGTTATATCTAACTGAATCAAATCTCTGAGAGTAAACGTTATGAACGAATTTAAAATAAATCGGTAATGTAAGATTAACATAGCAGTTTAAAATATATACATATAGCGACACATGTTAACTTTGCTTGCGTGTCAATACGCCTACACGTTTACATCCGATTAACGTAGTCACATATGTTCGTAACGTTCCACACATATTCCATACGGGAACGGGATAGATTACGTTTCAGAAGGGTCGAAGCAATGCCGGCTGCGGCTGGTAAGTCAAGATGGATGAAGTTCAAGCTGTTTATCTTTCCTCAGTACAGCAACAAGTGTCCCTAAACAATTCATTTTAAATCTGTTCGTCTACAGACGAATTTGTCAGATAATCGAAATTAGCGGGCGAGTTCACCGTCGTCGCCAATCGAATATTTTCGACAACGTTAGTAGAGCAACGAGTAACTACGTTACTGGCAGATCAAATTCGATACGTATCACTTGACATTATTATGATAAGATTTTCGAATGCCTACATACACACACACAGCCACAGACACATACACACGCGCACGAGCCAGATGCTTTTAATTTCGCGCTATTTTTATAGTCTAATGTCGTGAGTCTAGGAAGAACCAAGAGTCTTGGTGGAGGAGCTAGAACTTCACTAGACTCGTCGGCCGTTGTATATATCTGCTGGTCGATCATCAATAAGATTAGTCATGCGGTTTCACACGAACACATAAACACGAGAACACGTACCGGATATTCGTAAGAACACGTGGTCGCTTTGACAGCTATCCCTGATCTCACGTGAGAGTACGTTCGTGGCTGCTCAACAGACTGAAAATCCCCGGGAGCTGTTTATTGATCGTTTACTGCAGAAAGATACGCGCTACCATTCACTTGCGCTTACAACAAGGGAACTT